TTTACAGCATTTTGTAGAATTAATCAGAGAAGAAAGCAGGTGGCTACAAGATCTACTGTCAGCCATGTGTTACCCAGGAAGGGAATTCCTGGGAAATCGCACAACTTCGCCCTCCTTCCCCTCCCTTCATTCTCTTTGTGCCTGAGCCAAGCCTAAAGGGAACACAATCTTGGAAGCTGACAGTTGGCCAGAGGCCAGCTTCATGAACCAGCCAGGCTGACTTGGCTCCCTCTTCTCTAACAGTGGCCCATATGAAATCCTGCTGATGAGGGTGAGGGAGGAGAGACACCTCTGGTATTCCTTGCTGAAGCCAAGAGTGTGGGACGTGCGATGAAAACCTTTACGTGCTTCAAACAAGCATCTTTGTAATGTGTTTTAATTTTAAAAAACCCTACGTTAAATATATTTTCCTTGCCTTGCTACCTAGTTGAATCTTGTGCACTGAACTAAAGAAGACAAAAATTCTGCTATAAATTATTATGGCTGACCTTGATAAGGGAAGAGTACTTCTCCACAGTGTTTGAGAATATGAAAGAGTAATCTGTATTTGTGATGAAAGTAACTTTGGTTCTTGAGGAAATCCTGCCGATTGCGCCTCAGACTCCTGCATTTTTTATTTTCTAGTTTGCGCGGCAGTTCAGCAGAAATGAGCCGCTGACATTTGACTGGCTGTGCAGACACATTAACTGGCCCCTGACCCCACCCAAGAATATCAAGGACCTTGTTCACCTGGAAGCCGTTCACGATGTCCTCGATCTCTATCTTTGGCTGAGGTATTGAAACGGATGCATGGCTCAGTGTTTCCTAATGAGGGCAGCTTTTGGAACAAGCCTCCAACCGGGGCAAGAGCTGATTCCAGCAGCACTTTCTAACATGATGCAGTCCTCTTCTAGGACGGTACCATTTCAGAAAGTCCAGGGGAAACCACTTGTTCAGATGTCTCCCTGCAAGTGGAAAACTCACACTCCCAGGAACCAGCTCAACCCTTTTCGTTGGTGTGTAACTTTCCATGTGAAGGGGGATTTTGAATCCTCCACATGCAGTTTCTGTGGCACAGTCCCAGCACAGAACTGTAGTGCATCAGAAGCTACATGTTTAAATCACTTCCAGGCTGAAACTATATGGCAGTTGTGTGTTGCATCTCAGAGGCCTGGGACAATGTATATGCAAAGCGTATACCCGTGATCAATGTCTCTGATGAAAACATTCTTTAGATTGGTTTGTTAGACATTCCACTAATGCAGAACAGAAACAAAGTCACTTGGAGGCAGAGAAACAGCTGAGAACCAGTGAGGTATAGTAAGTCTGGAGCACTGGACTTGGGTCAGGGAAGCTTCGGTTCCAATCCCTGCTCAGCTGTGACTCTCACTGGGTCAGGTTACCATCTCTCAGCCTGGCCTACTGGCTCCAGGCTGTAGTGAGGACAAAATGGGGTTACCCTTACCTCTCACCTGAAGAGTCTTCAAAGATACTTGGGGTACCTTCTAATTAATATCCTTGATAGATTGCTTGCATAACTCATTTCCCCTAGATTATGCTTCAGTTTTGTGTGTGTGTGTGTGTGTGTGTTTAGAGAACTGGATGTAACAAGCAGGGATGGGCATGAACCAGCTCATGAACCAAAATACATGAGCAGCGCTGAGCAGCACAGGGTCCGCTCGTCAGTAGTTAGGTTTAAATGGCTGGCTGGCAGCCAGTTTGCCCTTCCCAGGTGATCCCCACCGCCTTTCTTCTGGCTGCGGCAAAGCATGGCCAGGAGAAAGGGGGAAAGGAAGTCCTTTCCTGGGCGATCCCCCCTTTCTCCTGGCCCCAGCAAACTGCGGCCAGGAGAAAGGTGGAAGGAAAAGCCCTTCCAGGGCGGTCCCTGCCCTCTTTCTTCCAGCCGTGGCAAGCCACGGCTGGGAGAAAGGAAGAACCAAACTCACCAGCTTGGTTCAGGTGGGGCCCTTTTGGTTTGATTTGGGGTTTGGTCTATGGGCCACCCCGAACCACTCTTTTAGATTTGTGCCCATCCCTAGTAACAAATCCCTTCTATTAAGCAAGGCATCTTTTTCTGGTAGAGACAGTCATTGGCTCCAACCCAGTATGTTCTTCAATAAATTGCTTTGCTTGTTCTAGGTCGGTGGTCTCCACCCTTTTTGAGCCTGTGAGTGCCTTTGGGATTCTGACAAAGGGTGGTGGATGCAGCCACAAAATGGCTGCTGTAGGAGGTGGAGCTAGCCACAAAATGGCTGCCATCACTTACCTTCAGTCATGCAGTGAAGATCCTTGTGCTGAGGTGACACCTTTTCCCAAGGCAATGTTTATAAAAAACTGCTTAGTCAATCAAAACCTCCAGTGGACAGTCTGAAACCTATCTATGCAAAAGCCCCTCCAGGCCACAGTCACTTTCTAAAAACACTTGGGAGGCACCAGGAGGGGTGTCACCAGGCACCATCATGTCCACGGGCACCTCACTGGGGCTGAAGGTACTACCCAGTGGAAGTGGCAATAGTTTTCTCTAAATTGCTTTTTATTCCTGTATCCCTTTCTTAACTCAAGGATTAGGCAGCTATGTTTTAAAAACCTCATCTGTCATCTCATGGTTAGTGGGATTCAGAGGAGGTTGATACCGGAGGGAATAGCCTTTGACTTTTTAGGATTTCTTTGGTGACCGCTTACCAAATGCACCCATTTGTGTTCTCTTTCAGTTACCGCTTCATGGACATGTTCCCCGACACCAGCCTTGTGAGGGACATCCAGAAGGAGCTGGATGACATCATACAGATTGGGGTGCTCAACATCACGAGGCTGATCAGAGTCTCAGAAGCCACTTCTGGAACTGTGGCGGTTCCGGATGATTTCCCGCTTCAGAGGACTCGCATCGGTGATGGGATGTTGAACGCGGAAGACCTCCCGCAGACCGGCCAAGCATCTTCCCCAAATGATGCAAAGGGCCAAGGGCAGCGAGGAGCAAGGGGGTCCAAAGCGCTGGGCCACAGGTCGGCTGGAGCACAGGTGGAGCCCCTGGGTCGTATCCGGGGTGCTTTAGCTGCTAGACTCATACAGCAGGGACTCCTCACCCAGGAAACGCTGAAGCAGCTGGAGAAAGAGTGGTTAGCGGATCGCGGTGGGAATGCTGGCAGTGCCGCTCAAAACACAGACCCAAAGGGGAAGAAGAGAAAGTGAAATGGTCAATAATGGTACAATAAAAAAGGTTGTTTAGTAATGTTTCAGTTGTGTATTACCAGAAAAATATATAATGCTTTTGCAGCACAAGTCACAAAGGCAGGTCTGCGGCCCGGGGAGCTTGCAGTCCACAGATGGAGTTGACAGAGTGACAGAAGGGGCCGGAGCGTGTGCTAAGGGGTGCCAGGTGGTCAAGAACAGACAGAGTGGGTGAGCTAGATTTGGGGAAGGGAGCCTTGGGTATTAAGCAAGGGATTTAGAAAAGCTGTACTAGTTGCACTTCCAGGAATGCGTGTTGGTCCGAAATGAAAAGGATTACTCCTTTTTGTGTCTGAAAAATCGATCTTCAAACAGTGCAGTACGCTGACTGAGTCATGTCACAAAGTTCAGGCTTGCGCCCCTTACAGTGCAGCATAGGTTGTCGTTTAACTCCGCCGAGGTACATAGTTCATCAGATAAACGGCAATATAAATGATAATCTACAGCTCCACAGGAAATTAGACGAGTAGAACGGTGAGCCAAATTGTTTGCCTTCCTGATGTGCACTTACCTTGGATGGAAGTCCAGCACTGTCTTGAATCATCCTCCATAGGAAGGAAATTCAGTGGTCTGCTTTGGAGTGAAGGGAGGAAAGTGTTAAGGGCTTCTCCCTTCTGTTTTCTGAAGGTGTCTTTTAATTAAAACAAAACAATGCCACTGAAAGCATTCTTTAGCTGTATTCTAGGAACACCTGTCCCATTCATCATACAAAATCAAGGTTATTCTTGAATTAAGACTTTTGCTGCTGCCCACGCACATGGCAGAGGAAGTAGCCCAATAGGTGCCAAAGCACACACCCACCCTTTCCCCTCGGTTGTAATATTCAACCCTTCTCCACAACAGTGTGGGGATCTCACTGCAGAAGAGCACTGTTAGGGGTGAGGAATGACGCTTGAGTCCTGTGGCACCTTTAAGACCAACAAAGCTTTCTGCCTGGTACAAGCTTTCGTGGGCACACTTGGAGGTGCCACCCTGGACTCAAACTTTGTTCTGCTGCTTCAGACCAACACGGCTACCCACCTGAATCTGTCTACACGGGGCGGGGAATGTCTGCTTCGAAGAAGGGCTTCGTTTCTCTGAAGCTGTAGCATGGATCTCCCAAGATGGGGTGTGCTTGCAGGGAGAGCCCATTTCCGAGTGATCACAGTGCAGAGGGGACTTTACTGAGATGAGCTTTGCTGCCTCTGAAGCAAGTGATGTTGCGTTAATGCTGTGCTCTCAACCCACATGCCTGTTAGGCGGCCTCCGAGATACTTGAGACAGATGTTGCGTGTAACGTGTGCCTGTGTCTGTATCCGAGGCCCTGTTTCTTAGACTGGTGTATATCCTTATGCCTGCGCTAGAGGCAAAGAGGGTGGGGAGGTGGACCCAGCAGGAACAGCTGGTACGGAACAGGAGATCCTGGCTGTCTTTACCATTTGGAAGAGCACCATTTGTTGGGGGTGAGTGGCTGTGCGCGCATGGAAGACGGGGGGGAGGGGGCTGGACTTATCAATGTGCAGCTTTTGAGGCCGGCAGCTGAGTGCTTGAGCTACTGGGCAACGGTGTCTGTCTGGGGCCAGTGATGACTGTGGTGAAGGTTGATGGCATCTCGCCCGCCCCGGGGCCACTGAACTGATGAGTCAGAAGTGTTGGGGGTACGGGGCCGCCCTGAGCGGGCTCTGTACAAGGGTCACATCATGCTCTCCTTTGCTGAACTTCCAGTGCTGGGAGCCAGAAAGGCAGAAGCAAGGGCCCCGGCCGTGAGGTGGGAGGCAGGAAGGGGGGGGGAGTGGCAGCTGCAGGAAGGCGAGCAGGCCCTGGGCCAAAAAAGTGCTGGAATCGAGCTCTTGAGCTGCCAGGCCAGCCGCTATGGGGGGTGGGTTTGGAAAGCAAAAAATAAAGTTTTTCTTTTGGGGGGGGAGGGTTTAAACAGCTTGAGGTGAATGATTTGTTGTCTCAAAGATTCGCTTGTGCCTCCCCCCCCGGGGGGGGGGCGTTGCAAGGCTAAAACTCCCACATGGGGGGGGGGGGCCTCTGGGGCCTTCCTTTTCCTGCTGGTGGGGAAAAGCTTCTCCCAAGCTCAAATGGGGCTTGTGTTTGCCCGAAATGATTCCTCCCATTGTGACAAATGGAAGCGCTGTGGGGCACTTGAATTCAGGAAACGGAAGGGTTAACTTCATGCGCATCCCCATGCACTGGTGCTGCAGCTCCGACCTGTAGTGGGGAGCCCTGCAGCTGCTTATTATGGATTTAAAAATCTGACCTCCCAGCACCCTGTCTGATTGGAGGCCGAATGCGACAAGTGTTTAGAAAGGCAAACTCATCAGCTGGGACTAGGGACACCAGCCTCCACATGGGGGCACATGGGGATCCCCTGGAATTACAGCTCCTCTCCAAACTGCACAGATCAGTTCCCCTGGAGAAAATGGAGGCTTTGGAGGGTGGACTCTAGGGCATTGTACCCCACTGGGGTCCCTGCCCTCCCCAGGCTCCTTCCCCCAATCTCAAAGAGTTTCCCAACCTGGATCTGGCAACCCTACAACGCCATCTCCTGCTGGTAGCTGGGGGGGTGGGAGACCTGGCAACCCTAGCTGGGACTGACTTGTCGCAAATGACACACACTGGATGTACAGCCTCAACTCAAAAAGCCTCTTTTCGAGGGGAACTTGGACTGGCTCAAGTGGCAAGAGTTGTGTTTTTGTTTTTAGACTCAGGGAAGTGATGGTGAGGGAAACCGGCTCTTCCACAATTGCTATTAGGTCTACTGGTGGGGAGAAGAGAGAGAAAGAGACAGTATGGCTGCCCTTTGACCTTAAATTACACATAGAAAGAACTGCTCCTAAATCCCCAGCCTCATGTTGAGGCTGGAGCTGTGTACTGAGAGTGTACATTGGTGGCAAACCTGGGTTTATCGCTGTGTGCCTTGCGAAGCACACAGCTGGGTCTCTTGCAGGCCGTCATCTGGCAAGAAAAGGCTTGAGCTGTGCGCTCTGGAGAGGGATGGAAATGAGATCTGGTGCCTGAACCGTGAGCCTTTAAGGACGAAGCCCAGGACATTCTTTTGAATTTTTGCTGAGATTAGCACTTCCTTTAATTCATTGCTTGTTCCCATAGCGACTCCATAGTAACTGTTGTAAGTCCTCTGAAGTTTGTTCAGGCGTTTCTAAGGCTGATTTGGATGGAAGTTTTCTGCTGCGCTAATGATGTGGACGCAATTGGCCTGGATGAAGAGCGCTGGACTCACATGATCTGAATGAATGGCAGGGGTGTAGTGATGCATTAATCTCCTTTGCACGAGTCTGGAAGTCGGTAGTACCAAACCGGGTTCTTTATGACTGTGGACTGTAACAGCATTTTAGTGTCCTCTAGACTTCATTAGCATAGCGGTATGAAGCTGGCACAGTGCAGAAGTGGGTCTGAGTCTACAATTTACTCTGGTTGGGTGAATTAAATGTGTGGTGTGTCCTCGAGGAAGGAGAGGTCCACAACAACCTCTAACGGAGGGTTCTTCAGTGTGGTGCCCGTGGGGACCCCTCTGCCGACAACTTTCCTGGCACCCAGCAAGTGTTTTAAGAACCAGGTGGGGCCAAATGGGGCTTCTTCCAGGTTTCCTGTACCGATTAAAATATCCACAGTGTTGGTTTTATTCCATCGCCCCTACTCTTTCCTCTTGTCCTAGACACTTGGGCTTCCTCTATGCGTGTGTGTGTGTGGTTGGCTGCACTTCCTGTGGTGGCCATTTTGTGGCTGCCCCCACCACGCTGTGTCAGGATTCCAGAGGTGCCCACAGGCTCAAAAAGGTTGGGGACCCCTGCTCCATCCGAATGATCCTCAGCATAAGACGGTTTGCGGTGCTCATAGAGATTTGCAATGAAGCCCTCTGCCTGCAGCAAGCAAGAATTGCCCTCGTGTGAATCCTCATTCTCTCCTCCAGCTTTGGAAAGCATTGCTTCCTTTAAGATTCAGGACCTAGAATTAAAACAGGGAGCCCTTTTCGTCGCCTCAGTGATGAGGTGGTGTGGGATGCAGAGCTGGAAGATGCAGGTTCCAGTCCCTGCTCTGCCATGGAAGCTTGCTGGGTGACTCTTGGGCCAGTCACTCCCTCTCAGTGTAACCTACCTTGCAAGGTTGTTGTGAGGACAAAATGGAGGAGCGGGGAATGATGTAAGCCACTTCGGTTCCCTGTTGGAGGGGGAAATGGGGTATATATATGCAAAATAAATGAGTCATGCAGCCCTGCTGAATGCCAACTTGTCT